GGCCCTGTTTCCCCCCCCCCCCAAAAAAAGGCAGGAAAGGGTCTTGGCCAGAGGGAAACCGCATTTGGAGACCTTCTACCACGTCCTAAAGGAAGGGCCCCCAAACTTGGCCGCTTTAAGACTTGTGGACTTCAGCTTCCAGAATTGTCTCCTGCCAACACATCCTTCCCCTTTCGCTCCTCTTTGTTCCCTATCGGAGGATCCATTCACTATCCACCTGTGGTTTGCTCCCAAGTCGACCCTTGTTCCTTAGCTGTTCCCTTCTCCTGGCAGCTCTGCGCATGCGCACACTGGGAACAGGCTCCATCCGTTCTTCTGCCCCACTGATGTCCGACTCCGAAGGCAGCTGATAACTGTCGGACGGCCCTGGCCCCACCTCTGCCTCCGACGCAGAGCCCTCGTCCGAGCCTTCCACAGACTCCAGGACCGGCCCAGGTTCCTCCCCAACCTCCCCCCTGTCCGAAAGCTCTGCTGGCTGGAGAATTCTGGGAGTTGAAGTCCACAAGTCTTAAAGTGGCCAAGTTTGGGGACCTAAAGCAACGCTGTTTTAGGGGGGTCTTTGCAGGCGTGACGTGGGCTGCGTTTCCTCCACAGGAGCAGTGATGGGGTCCTGACCTTTCTGTGGCAGAGCAGCGGAGACACCTCGGCCTCCTCCTCCTCCTCTCCGTGGGGAGACAGGCACCCTTAGAGACCCGTGGACTTGCCGGCTGCCCCTCTGGGGAGGGGGCGGCTGCCACCCACCACCACCACTGCGCCTCCAAGCAAATCTCGATTTTGTATCTTCTTCTTTGGGGGGGAACAGCAGGGAAAGGGGCCGTTCTGGGAAAGGCAATAAAACTGACAAAGCGTTATCCTCTCTGTGTGTGTGTGTTTGTGTGTGTGAGAGAGACCCTTCGCCCACTCTCTCGCCTTTATGTGTCAAGCAAAGTGTGTGGGAAGGCATTCCCGTTTGAACTCACAGCTGCAACCACCTGCTTGCAACCTCCCCCTGAATCAGGCGGGACAGCTTTCCTCGTCCAAGTTTAGAGTTTGGGTTTCTCTTGAAAAAGCATTCCTGCCCTAGAGAAGATCTCCCTCCCTCCTTTCTCTCTCCAGCCGGAGCCTCCTGGGGTCAGGAACAGCCTCCCTCTCAAGGTTAAAATTCTTTCCCACGGGCACATGCTCCCTCTGGCCCTTGAACCCTCTCGCCAGGCGGCCCTCGAAGGCAGGGCCAAGCTGGCCTCGGGGTGTAAGAGGGACCTGGGACGGTTTTGCCCTCGAGACCCGGCCCAGAAAAGGGAGATTTTTCAAAGGGGGAAAATGTGTTGTGGGGGGATCCTGGTTTAAATCTGCCTCGAGTTTAAAGCCGGGGACTTCAAACTTGGCAAGTTTAAGACTTTGTGGACTTCAATGCCCAGGATTCCTGAGCTACCGTGACTGGAGGGGGAGGAATTCTGGGAGTTGAAGTCCACCAGCTGTCAAGTTTGAAGACCCCTGAGTTAGAGAATAAACCCTGGTCAATTGTAATCCAAAGTCGCCTCCGGCCAAGCATCCCCTCCCTTCACAGGGGCCACATCGCTCCGTCTGGGAAGGTCGCCCACAAGAGCCCTTCTTTGAAGGTAAACTGCTCCTGGAGAGGATGCTCCGCAGAGGAAAAGAATCCCATTTCTGAGCTTTAGCTGCCGTCAGCAGTTTTATTCTGGTCTTTCTTTTATAACGGAGTCGCAAAGGAATGTGTTCTGTTCCTCAGCATCAGGTCACTAGCTCCGCCACCCAGGGTGGCAGAGCGGTCAGCACAGCACCGCTTCGGGGATTGTCCGGGCGGCATGCCTGAAGCCTCCTTCGTTGGACCCTGCCAGCGTCCTAGGAGCAGGCCCCCTTCCAGGAAGAGCTGGCGGGGGCACGGATGCCTTCATCGCCGGACAGCCAGCACGGTGGAGACGCTACGTCCAAATAAGAGACGGGAACCTGAGCGGCCCTTGGTTTCCCTCTCGGCATATGCATTCTGGATGTCGAAAGAGGCCGTTCTGGGCACGGGAGGGGAAAGGCGGGCCGTGGAGAGAAACCAGCCCCTCTCCGCTCGGCTCAAGTGCCCGAAGGAATGTTAAAAACTCGAGTCCCTGCTGGTCACCTGGAAATGATCACCAGTTTCTCTCTCTCTCTCTTTTCCCCCCTCGGCCCCTTTCTTCTGCCTTCAAAGCAAAGCTGCGATCTCTCCTTCCCCTTTTAAGATCGAAGCCCACCCACCCACCCCCAAGTGGGGTGCCGGATGCCCAGAGAGAAAGCCAAGCTGGGGCGTGTTTTGCTTAACGACAAAGAGGGGCCCGGTCAGCCCCAGGGCTCGCGGCGCAAGTTCAGTTCGTTGGCACCCTCGCCCAAACCACATTTTTCTCCCCTTCACCTCCGGGACTCCGCCATCCGTTCCAGAGCGCTGTGGGGATGGATGAGTTGCAGGTGGCAGAGGTCTTCCCACCCACCCACCCACCCCTTCTGCCTGGTGCACAATCCCAGAAGGCTGCCTGTAGGAGCATTTGATGTTGAGACTCTGGAAAGGGTGCAGAGAAGAGCAACCAGGATGATGAGGAGAGTGGAGGCTCAAACCTACGATGGACGGTTGCAGGAACTGGGCCTGGCTAGTCTAGGGACCAGAAGGACCAGGGGAGACAGGAGAGCATCTTCCAATATTTGAAGGGAGAGAAAGAAAAGGAAAGAGGAAGGAAGGAAGGAAGGAGAGAAAGAAAAAAGTGAGAAAGAACAAAAAGGGAGAGAGGAGAGAAAAAAGGAAAGAGAGAAAGAAAGGGAGAGAAACAGGGAGAGAGAGCAAGAGGGAGTGACTGGAGGCTAAAACCTTGCAGGAACTGGGCCTGGCTAGTCTAGGGAAGAGAAGGACCAGGGGAGACAGGAGAGCAGCCTTCCAAGATTTGAAGGGAGAGAAAGAAAAGGAAAGAGGAAGGAAGGAAAGAGAGAAAGAAAAAAGGGAGAAAGAACAAAAAGGGAGAGGAGGGAAAAAAGGAAGGAGAGAAAGAAAGAAAGAGAGAAAGAGAGAAACAGGGAGAGAGAGCAAGAGGGAGGGACTGGAGGCTAAAACATACGATGAACGGTTGCAGGAACCGGGCCTGGCTAGTCCAGGGAAGAGAAGGACCAAGGGAGACAGGAGAGCAGCCTTCCAATATATGAAGGAAGAGGGAGAGAAATAAAAGGAAAGAGAAAGAAAGGAAGGAAGGAACCAAAAGGGAGAGAAAGAGGGGGGGAGGAGAGAGAGAAAAAGGAAGGAAAGAGAAAGAAAGAAAGAAAGAAAGAAAGAAAGAGAAAGAAAGAAAGAAAGAAAGAAAGAAAGAAAGAAAGAAAGAAAGAAAGAGGGAGAGAAAGAGAGGGAGAGAGAGCAAGAGGGAGGGACTGGAGGCTAAAACACATGAACGGTTGCAGGAACTGGGCCTGGCTAGTCTAGGGAAGAGAAGGACCAGGGGAGACAGGAGAGCAGCCTTCCATTAGTTGAAGGGAGAGGGAGAGAAAGAGTGAGAGAAAGAGAACAAAAAGAGAAAGAAGGAGAGAGGAGAGAGAGAAAAAGAAAGGGAGGAAGGAGAGAAAGAAAGAAAGGGAGAAAGAGTGGGAGAGAGATCAAGAGAGAGTGATTGGAGGCTAAAACATAGGATGCAGGAACTGGGCCTGGCTGGTCTAGGGAAGAGAAGGACCAGGGGAGACAGGAGAGCAGCCTTCCAGTATTTGAGGGGCTGCCCCAGAGAGGAGGAAGGGGTCAAGCTATTCTCCAAGATACCCGAAGGCCAGATAAGGAATAATGGATGGATGGAAACTGATCAGGGAGAGATTCAACAGGGAAATAAGGAGAAACTTTCTGACAGTGAGAACAATCAATCCATGGAACAGAAGTTGCCTTCGGAAGTTGTGGGAGTTTCATCCCTGGAGGATTTCAAGAAGAGACTGGACTGCCCTCTGTCAGGAAGGGTGTAGGGCCGTGATGGCGAACCTATGGCACAGGTGGCACGCGAGCCGCAAGCAATTACCTCATTGCACTTGTGCGTGCCTCTGAGCTGATTTTCAGCCCGTTTGAGACCTTTTTCGGCCTCCCAGAGGCTTGAGGGAGGCCTTTGCAGACCGAAAAATAGGCCTGTTTCGTCACTTCCTGTATTTCCGGAAGTGACGAAACAGGCCCGTTTTTTGACCCGCAAAACCTGCAGAAGCTTTCCTCAAGCCTTTGGGAGGCTGAAAAAGGCCTCAAACGGGCTGAAAATCAACTGGGAGGTGCAGTGCAGGTAAGGTGGCGCCGGGGGGGATTGCTTGCGCATGCGTATGGGGCATGGGGGGTGCGTGCATTGCCTTCTGGGTGCTGGCGCACGAGCACAATTTTTGGCACAGGAAGGTTAGCCCAAAAAGGTTAGCCACCACTGGTGTAGGGTCTCCTGCTTGGGCGGATGGAAGGGTTGGACTAGATGACCTACAAGGTCCCTTCCAACTCCGTGAATCTGTTAAACCTGGGCTAAAGCTTTCAAGAAGAGACTGGACTGCCCTCTGTCAGAAATGGTGCAGGGTCTCCTGCTTGGGCAGGGGGGGTTGGACTAGATGACCTACCAGGTCCCTTCCAACTCTGTTAACCTGTTAGGGACTAGCGCTGGTAATGTTCCCTAGTTGGGTCACGAAACGTCTGCAAGAAAACCTCAAGAGAGGTTTTCCCCTCAAAAAGAGACCATGGCCAAGAGACCACCAAGAGACCACCTCAGCATCAAACCCTAAACGACAAATATTCTCTCTTTAGGATCCTACAACTCCTAAAATGGGAGCCCCTAAAAGCAAGCAGTTCCTCCTGGCTGTTTCCCGACCTCTAAAGCTGCCCCAGGACAGGGTAGTCCTCGGCTTACAACAGTTAGTTCATTTAGCGACCGAAGCAACAAGGCATTGAAAGAAGCGACTCAGGACCGCTTTCCACGCTTTACGAACGTTGCAGCCACATCCCCGTTTGGTCACACGATCAACGTTTAGATGCTTGGGCAGTTCTTTTGCAGCTTCTGGCAAGCAAAGCTGAGTTACTAACTTAACGGCAGAGGTTCGCTTAACAACGGTGGTTAAGAAAAGGTAAAAGAGGGAACGAAACTCCCTCCTCGATTGCCTCCCTTAGCAAGAGAAACTTTGGGCTTCATTCCGGTTGTAAGCCGAGGATCAACCCCATACTGTAATTGGTAGGGCATCTCCAGGGGGGGGTCCTAATTCGACCATGTACGACTTCGGGCCTTTCTCTGCCTGATCCCATCTCGGTTTTTTTCAAAGCCACGATCCTAAGGGTACAACCGTGCCTGCCATCCCTGTCCTATTGACCCCAATTACTAGTTCCCATTTCTTGCATTTAAACATGTTTATTCTTGTTTCTGTTGTATTGTAGGTTTTTGATAAAATAAAAATAAAATAATAAATAAAATCAAAACCTTGTGGCGGGGAGTCCCCCTGGAGACATGATCAACATGGAAGAGTCAGCCCAGGAGAGAAAAACGGTGTGTGGAAGCGAGGCTCTCCAGGCGAGACGCAGAATCTTTGCAAGAATCCGAAACCGCAGAGCAAAATCTCAGCAGGCAGAAAGGATGAAACCATCTTCCAAGTTTTGGGGGCCGTGAAGCAAAAAATTCCCAAATGGGAACTCCTGCAGAGACACGCCGGAAGCAGCTGCCCGGGAAAAGGAGAGGCAGAGTTGGGATGTTGCAATGAAGGCTTCAAATCAATCAATCAATCAAAATAGAGCTGGAAGAAGACCTTTGAGGTCTTCTAGCCCAGCCCCCAAGAGATCCTACACGATTTCAATCCATCAGTGGCCGGGAGTGGGCAGCCGACGGCAGGCAACGGGCAGTGACCTGGTGGGCACTTCTTCTGCCC